TAAATAAATAAATAAAATAATGAAATACAAAGACATACCATCAAAAAAATACATCCTTGAGCTAGTATATAATTTCAGACTGTCTGTAGGTGGCAGAAAATATTAAATACTATGTAAGGTGAAACAAAGGAAGGGTTAGCTATAATTAGAGTCATTATTTCATAATGACTCATTTTTTATCTCAAAGAAATCATAACAAAATCATAGCCTAAGACTTTTAGTCATGAATAATAAGAATTTTGGTAGCTCTTGTAAATATCTCAGAATTTAAAAGTCAGTGTCAAGAATCTACTTTGCTTTGGTTCTTAAAGGTAATTTTTTAAAACTCTCCAAGGATGAATATTGAGAATAGTGGAAAAGGAATGGCTTATTTTTATATATATAGCAAAAACATTTTTCTTGCTCATCATTTTTTTACTGATATTTACGTAGGTATGATTTTATGAGAATCTCCTTCAGAAATAGTGCATTTTTCATTACAGGACAGAGGATAAACCAAACAAAACAAAACAAAACAAAAAAACACAAAAACCTTTGAATAAATATGGCCATTAGTCCCTGAGTGGAACTCTACCAACTACCTGAGTTCAGAAGATCCCACAATGATCCCATTCTGACCCAAATAACCTGCTTTCTAATGCTGTGCTATATGCTTAAGAGGAGGTGGATGAGGAGGGAAAGATGGAAATCCCTAAGGGCTTTTTGTGCTTTGTCAGTCATGAGAGCTTCCAGAGGGATCCAAAGAGGTCTAAAATTCCATTTAGATTTGGGATGTGAAGGGATGCTTAATTTTGATAAAATGGAAAAAGGGTTATTATGAAAGCATCACAGACTAATTTTAGGAAAAAGTTCGTATGAAAGTAGAAGATCTGAAAAATGTCCCTTAAAAACACCAGAGCTCTCTTACCCTTTGGAAAATTTTCTTATATTCCCAGATTATATGTGACCCAGTTTGAAGACCACTAGTGACAAATGCTTTCCCAAAGATTCCAAAGACAATTTTTAACTTAACTCCAATACCCAGTTGCAAGTAAGACTATATTGCTGACCAGACCTACTGTAGATAATACAGGATAAACTTAGAAATTGAGGATTCTGTTTACCTCTGGTTCCTGGGCCTTCTTTCCAAAGGTTTCTATGGTTCTCTGTAGGATTCCACACCACCTTACCCCCAATTTGCTGGCCCATTTTTTAACTGTGTCTTGTCAGCCTACATAGCAGTTCTATTAAACTATTGATGACAGTAATGTGATTTAGACTGTCCAAGAGACATAGTGTTATCAGATATAAAATCTCTAATAGCAAAAATATATACCCTCAACATTAATGCAGTGATTTGTTTTCCTTTTATTTTATTTTATTATGTTAATCACCATACATTACATCATTAGTTTTTGATGTAGTGTTCCATGATTCATTGTTTGAATATAAAACCCAGTTCTCCATTCAATACGTGCCCTCTTTAATACCCATCACCACGCTAACCCATCCCCCCACCCCCCTCCCCTCTAGAACCCTCAGTAAGTTTCTCAGA